TAGAAAAAAAACACAGAGCTTTATTGTTCTCAACACCAGCGGCAGCGGTCTCTGTAGGACAGGGGAGTGAGCTCTGTTGACTGACAGGGATAGGTGGCTCCTACTTGGCGGCGATGAGCGGGTTCTGCAGGGCCACAATGACTGAGTCCCCGCGCAGGAACATCTTGGAGATGTAGCGGTCTTTGTTGACTGGCTTGGACTTCTTGCCCTTGCCGCTCTTGGGTACCTCAGTCCACATCTCCTTCATGTTCTCCAGCACCATGTTGCAGTGCCTATCGAAGGCCTTCACATGGCCTAGGAGTTTCTTATTGTTGCGGCAGTTGATAAGCAGTTGGGTGTTGTTGTTGATGGACTGAGTGAGCACAGAGAGTGGACCCGTGTTAAATTCCTCCTCCTCTTGCTTCTGCAGCTCCTCCGGGGTCATCTCACTCTTGGGCTTGTTGAGGAGGCTCATGTTGGTCACTAAGCGCTCGGTTCACTCCGGTTTCCCTGGACTTTGTTTTTTAATCCATTCAGCCACTCTATGTCTTTTGACTCAAGAGTTTATTCCATTTACATTCAATATATCCTTGACATTTGAAAGCCAATTAATACAGTTCAGCATATCAACAGAATAAAGAAGAAAAATCATATGCAACAGATCACTGGGACTTGCTTTTTAATTCATATATATCCTTTATATTTGAAGGATATTTTGGCTGGATATACTATTCTAGGATAAAAGTTTTTCAGCACTTTAAATATGTCATGCCACGCTCTCCTGGCCTGTAAAGTTTCCACTGAAAAGTCTGGTACTAGATGTATTGAAGCTCCATTGTATGTTGTTTCTTTTTCTCCTGGTGCTTTTAGGATCCTTTCTTTATCCTTGACCTTTGGGAATTTGATTATTAAATGCCTTAAGGTAGTCGTCTTTGGGTTAAATCTCCTTGATGTTCTATAACCTTCTTGTACTTGAATGCTGATATCTTTCTTTAGGTTTGGGAAGTTCTCTGTTATTATCCCTTTGAGTAAACTTTTTACCATTATCTTTTTCTCTACCTCCTCTTTAAGTCAAATAATCTTTGATTTTACCTTTTGAGGATGTTTTGTAGCTCTTGTAGGTATGTGTCATTCTTTTTTATTCTTTATTGTTTGTTTGTTTCCACTGACTGCGTATTTTCAAATAGCCTATCTTTGAGCTCACTAATTCTTTCTTCTGCTTGATCAATTCTACTATTACTAAGAGACTCATGCATTCTTCATAATGTCCATTGCATTTTTCAACTCTGGAATTTCTGCTTGGTTTTTAAAAATTATTTCAATCACTTTCTTAAATTTATGTGATAGAATTCTGAATTCCTTCTCTGTGTTATCTTAAATTTCTTTGAGTTTCCTCAGAACAGCTATTTCGAATTTTCTGTCTGAAAGGTCACATAACTCCATTTCTCCAGGATTGGTCCTTGGTGCCCTATTTAGTTCATTTGGTAAGGTTATGTTTTTCTCAATGGTCTTGATACTTGTGGCTATTCTTCAGTGTTTAGCTTAGGTGTTTTTTGCAGTCTGGGCTTGTTTGTGCCCCTCTTTCTTGGAAAGACTTTCCAGGCATTCAAGGGGACTTGGGCCCCAAGTGCAATAGCTCTGTGATTCTTGCTGACTTGTAGAGGTACCACTTTGGTGTTCTTCGATAAGATCGGGAAAAAAAATCTCTGGATGACCAGGCACAGACACTTGTTCTCTTTCCTTACTTTCTCCCACACAAATGTAGTCTCTTTCTCTCTGTGGTGAGCTGCCTGGAGCTGTGGGTGGGATGATGCAAGCCCTCCTATGGCCACCACCAATAGGACTGTGCTACACTAGACTTGAAGCCAGCACAGCCCTGGGTCTTGCCCAAGGCCCGCTGTGACCACTACGTGGCTATCACCTATGTTCACTCAAGGCCCTAGGGTTCTGCAATCTGCAGGTGGAGAAGCCAGCCAGGTTTGTGTCCTTCCCTTCAGGACAGTGAGATCTACCAGGCCCTAGGCATGTTCAAAGATATTGTATGGGAGCAAGGAATTATAGTCAAAAAATCTTAGAAATTTCCCTGGTATTCTATTCTACTGCAGCTAAGCTGGCCCTCAGATCACAAGACAAAGTCCTTCGGACTCTTCCTTCCCCTTTCCACAGGCAGATGGAGCCTTCCCAGTGGTCACCACCGCCACTATCCCACAGGGAGTTCTGCCAGGCAACCACTGATGTTCACTTAAAGCCCTGCAGTCAGCTTGTAGTGAATGCTGCCCAGCCTAAGACTCACCTTTCAGGATAGTGGGCTCCCCTCTGGCCCAGAGTAGGTTCAGAAGTGCTGTCCAAGAGCCTATACCTGGATTCAGTAACCCCAAGAGCCCACTTGGTGCTCTACCCCACTACAGCCAAGCTGGCTGGTACCTAGGGTTCAATACAAAGTTGCCTTTACTTTTCTTTCTACTTTTCCAATCAGAAGGAGTCTTTCACCATAGCACCACAGCTTACAATGTGCCGGGTCTCACCTAGTGCCAGCACATTTCAAAGCCCAAGGCCCACAGTATACAACCTGGGTATCGCTACTGGTTATTCATTGTCAAAGGGCTCTTTATCACCAGCTAATCCTGCCATTAGTGCGTTCTTCCCTTCAAGGTAGCAGGTTCCCTCTCTCCCAGGGTGTGTCTAGAAATATCATCTGAGGAGCTGGTTTTTCAAAAAGATCAACAAAATAGACCACTGGCCAGATTAATAAAAAAGAAAAGAGAATAATCAAATAGATACAATAAAAAATGATAAAGGGGATATCACCACAGATTCCACAGAAATTCAAACCATCATCAGAGATTATTACAAACAACTCTATGCACATAAACTAGTAAACCTGGAAGAAATGGATAAATTCCTGGACACTTGCATCCTCCCAAGCCTAAACTAGGAAGAAGTCAAAACCCTGAATAGACCAATAACAAGGTCTGAAGTTGAGGCAGCAATTAAGAGCCTACCACCCAAAAAAAGCCCAGGTCCAGATGGGTTGACAGCCGAATTCTACCAGTTATACAAAGAGGAGCTAGTACCATTCCTTCTGAAACTATTCCAAACAATCAAAAAAGAGGGAATCCTTCCCAAATCATTTTATGAGACCAGCATCATCCTGATACCAAAACCCGGCAGAGACTCAGCAAGAAAAGAAAATTTCAGGCCAATACCCGTGATGAACATAGACGCAAAAATCTTCAATAAAATAGTGGCAAACCAATTGCAACAGCACATCAAACAGCTTACCCACCATGATCAAGTAGGCTTCATCCCAGGAATGCAAGGCTGGTTCAACATGTGCAAGTCTATAAACATAATTCACCACATAAACAGAACCAAAGACAAAAATCACATGATTATCTCAATTGATGAAGAGAAGGCCTTTGACAAAATTCAACAGCCCTTTATGCTAAAAACCCTCAATAAACAAGGTATTGACGGAACGTATCTCAAAATAATAAAAGGTATTTACGACAAACCAACAGCCAATATCATACTGAATGGACAAAAACTGGAAGCATTCCCTTTGAAATCTGGCACTAGACAAGGATGCCCTCTCTTCTAGCCAGAGCAATCAGGCAAGAAAAAGAAATAAAGGGTATTCAAATAGGAAAGGAGGAAGTCAAATTGTCTCTATTTGCAGACGACATGATTGTATATCTAGAAGACCCCATTGTCTTAGCCCAAAATTTCCTGAAACTGATGAGCAACTTCAGCAAAGTCTCAGGATACAAAATCAATGTGCAAAAATCACAAGCATTCCTATGTACCAATAACAGAGTTAAAGAGAGCCAAATCAAGAATGAACTGCCATTCACAATTGCTACAAAGAGAATAAAATACCTAGTAATACAACTAACAAAGAACGTAAAGGACCTCTTCAAGGAGAACTACAAACCTCTCCTCAACAAAATAAGAGAGGACACAAACAGGTGGAGAAACATTCCGTGTTCATGGTTTAGGAAGAATCAATATCGTGAAAATGACCATACTGCCCAAAGTAATTTACAGATCCAACGCTATTCCCATCAAGCTACCAATGACCTTCTTCACAGAACTGGAAAAAAAACACCTTAAAATTCATATGGAACCAAAAGAGAGCCCACATAGCCAAGTCAATTCTAAGCAAAAAAAAACAAAGTGGGAGGCATCACACTACCAGACTTCAAACTATACTACAAGGCTACAGTAATCAAAACAGCATGGTACTGGTACCAAAACAGAGATATAGACCAATGGAACAGAACAGAGGCCTCGGAGGCAACACAACACATCTACAACCATCCGATCTTTGCCAAACCTGACAAAAACAAGCAATGGGAAAAGGATTCCCTGTTTAATAAATGGTATTGGGAAAACTGGATAGCCATGTGCAGAAAGCAGAAACTGGACCCCTTCCTGATACCTTACACTAAAATTAACTCCAGATGGATTAAAGACTTAAACATAAGTCCTAACACCATAAAAATCCTAGAAGAAAGTCTAGGCAAAACCATTCAGGACATAGGCGTAGGCAAGGACTTCATGACCAAAACACCAAACGCATTGGCAACAAAAGCCAAAATAGACAAATGGGACCTAATCAAACTCCACAGCTTCTGCACAGCAAAAGAAACAGTCATTAGAGTGAATTGGGAACCAACAGAATGGGAAAAAAAATTTTGCAGTCTACCCATCTGACAAAGGGCTAATATCCAGAATCTACAAAGAACAAAAACAGATTTACAAGAAAAAAACAAACAAGCCCATTCAAAAGTGGGCAAAGGATATGAACAGACACTTTACAAAAGAAGATATACGTGAGGCCAACAAACATGAAAAAATGTTCATCCTCACTGGTCATTAGAGAAATGCAAATCAAAACTACATTGAGATACCATCTCACTTCAGTTAGAATGGCAATCATTAAAAAATCTGGAAACAACAGATTCTGGAGAGGATGTGGAGAAATAGGAACACTTTTACACGGTTGGTAGGAGTGTAAATTAGTTCAACCATTGTGGAAGACAGTGTGGCAATTCCTCAAGGACCTAGAAATAGAAAATCCATTTGACCCAGCAATCCCATTACTGGGTATATATCCAAAGGATTATAAATCGTTCTACTATAAGGACACATGCACATGAATGTTCATTGCAGCACAGTTTATAATAGCAAAGATCTGGAACCAACCCCCAAAGGCCCATCGATGATAGACTGGACAGGGAAAATGTGGCACATATACACCATGGAATATTATGCAGCCATCAAAAATGATAAGTTAGTGTCAAAACCCGGCACAGACTGAGCAAGAAAGGAAAACTTCAGGCCAATATCCATGGAACCTGGAAACCATCATTCTCAGCAAACTGACACAAGAACAGAAAATCAAACACCACATGTTCTCACTCATAGGCAGGTGTTGAACAATAGGAACACATGGACACAGGGAGGGGAGCATCACACGCTGGGGTCTGTCGGGGA